TTAATCACCACGCTTGCTCAATGCGGGTTGGTGATTTCAAACTTATAATTAGAAATTATAAGCCCAGGTTTCCTCACGATGTTTTTCCTTCACCGTTTGTCAGTGGTGTCTAAATAATCTTAGGAAGTACATATAACTCGGAAAAAGTCACATTGGTACTTGCCGTTGGTAGGTTTCGAGCCCGCACTCTCATGCATGAGAAGTGGGCGTCTTAAACCTCCGGGCCACCACGACATACACGCAATATGAGATATATTATACTTATACTCTGTACCATATCTATACTTCTATACTAATATTATAAAGAGGAAAGATTTGTACCTATTTTTGTATGTTCGTAATGAATAGGCTCAAAAAGTACTGGGCCGATTTAAAAAATTCTTTCATACAACATAGACTATACTATGACCATAGAGTATACCACAGATACACAACAAGCGTCAAACGACATAGTTATTTCTTAAAAATTTCATTCATTCATTCATCAATTAATGAAATTGTGATTATTTTTTAATTTTTTATTGTATCGAACAGTCGAAATAATTTATTTTTGATCATAGAAAATATATATATACAAGGTGTTGTTTTAAATCCACGTCATTTTCTAGGAATATTAACTCGGTATCAATTCTGAGTCCGAATCAATAAAAAAATTGTATGTAAATATTTTTCATTTTTCTGAAATTACGGAAATCCGTAAGTGTGAACTACACGCCGCCGTCTTGTAACTAGCTTTATAACGCGGCTTAACACCCACAAACTCCAACACGTAATTGATATTATTCCTAATTCCATAAAACTCCAATAAGAAACATTGCTGTCGCTTATTCTGAAATACTGTCGAACTTAAACGATTTATTATAGCCGTATTTTTAACTATTGGCCCGAAATTTCCTCTTACATTGAACCTTTATGACTTCTGTGACATGCCTCCGAGAAATGACACGGTTTCAAAACTACACCTTGTATATTTATTATTTATTTTCAGATTTGAAGCCAAGAAACACCACGACGTCTATCACAATGGACAGAAATATACTACTTGTGAACATTGTGGACGAGGGTTCAGGTATATAATTATATTCAACTAATATCATTATCATATGGCAATAGTCTCACCCCCTATTACATGGGACTCATAACATAAATAGTGAAAAGTGGGTGTTACATTGTACAGTGGCATTAAGTGCCGTAATGTGCACCTCTGTCTATCCCTTCAGGGATAAAAGGCGTGATGTTATGTTATGTAGACTATATTTAAATTATTGGAAGCAAGTATAACAGCTCACACATAGGACCCACTTAGTTTTTAGTCAAATTTCCGTGGTGCTTGGCGACTGGGCTTCACCCAGTTGTACAGTCTCTTCTTTGTGCCTTTAGGCTTAATTCATTCTGTCTCCTGCAGTAATTCACAGAGGGAAGTGGAAACTATTGTTTTTCTTCTTCTCCTCTTATAATATCTTCTGATTCACTTCGTTGCGGGAACCAAGACAGTTACTCATGTCCCTGGGACGCGCCGGACTTCAATGTTCCGGTGTTTTCATGGTTGTATCTACTGTAGATCCTGGGGTACAGGAGTTGCAGCGGTTTTGGGAGGTTGTGGCGGGCTTGTCCTAATAAAAAAGACTTTATTTAATAATATACCTTTCCAGGGTGCAATCAACGTTCCTCGTTCACCTTCGCGACGAGCACCCGTCGGAGCTGATCTGGTGCAACGTTTGTGGAGATTCATTCGTTCTGGCCGAAACTTTAGAGAAACACAAGCAGAGACGACATCGAGACGTAAGTATGAGGAGCATTCGGTATCCTATACTCGGAATTTTAATTCGATTCCAGATTTGACAATTTCAGTGTTGCAACGTTATGACAAGTACTAAATAGTGACGTTGCGAAATTATTCGATATGGAAATGGAATATTTCTCGATCGATTCTTCTCGTTTATAATTTTACTCTCGTAAACTAAGTATATCAGGAAATTAAATATTTCTGACCGATAATTTAGTTTTGACGATTATTTACCGTTCTGAGACTTTTCTTTTATAATTGTGTGTGAAATAAATAAAAAAATGTAATCATGAAGGAACATGACAAATAAAACAGATAGATGTATTATGATAATAAGTTATTTTATAAATTGTCGCCGTCATCGCTATCGCTATCGCTGTCACTTTCTGTAACATTTATTATAAAACACACACTGATTGTTTATCGATTTTTGTGTTCATCACTATATGGTATCATTATTTCACAAAATGACAGTAGCTATTGTCAAATCTGGAATCTAATTAAAATTCTGACTATAATTCCGTCTCCCGATTCCCAATCGTGCCAAAGCATGGCTCTCACACACTTATTGTGATTTAAAATATCTACCAGACGGACATTGAGGTAAAAATTAGTCATGTACCGTTTTGTTTTACAGCTCCATCTGCCGGTGCAATGCGACCGTTGCGATGTCCAGTTGGTGGACGAGGCCGCGTTAGACCGCCACTCGCTCGCCGGCGTCTGCACTGGACACACGTGTCTGCACTGCGGCCAAGGGTACAATGACGCCATGGCATTACGGGATCACATTATTAAAACGCATAGAAAGACGTCTAATATGCTATATCCATGCCCTAAGGTAAGATTTTTATGTACTGTAGGTATTTTTAAGTATCACTCAATATTTTTCTACGGAAAAGTTTATCCTAAACGGATTCAAATTCAAATTCTTTATTGCGTTCCACAATGTTTTACTTAGGTGGTAACATAGAATAATACAGTTCAATGTGAACCCTGTCGGGCACAGCAAGGAAATATATATTTTTAATACAAAAAAAAAACGACAAACTAGCATTACAGAGTCACAATACATTACATAAACAATATTAGAGCATTTTAATATAATTTATACAAACAAAAAAAAAAATTATTATACGATCTCCGGCCACCGTAAGCGCGGGCCTGCGGACGGCGAGCATGGGTGGCTCCCCGTCCGACCAGAAACAGACACGAGCGTACGGCGCCGAGCGTTCCGTGCACGCCTCAAAGAGCCATCAGACACAGAGCCACACAGAGCCACAGATTGGGCCCAACAAGGCCGATGCCGATTCGGAGTCGCGGAGAACCTAACGGGTAACCGGGGCTCCGGCTCGACGTGCAGGAGAAGGAACGGGGTGGTTTTTAGTCAGTAAGAGTCTGACACTCCCTCTCTAGAGAAGTCGGCCTCTGAGGCCTTAGTACGAGTTTGTTTTAGGTTTAAAGTATTCGAAACGAGTACGCGTTCGGCACACTGATTGGCCGGCTCTACTGAAGCAACCAATCACAGCGACGAACGCGTACTCATTATGATTACTTCATACGTAAAAAAAACTAGTACTAAGGCCTCTGATGTCGTTAAAAGTACGATAAACTCGACACAAGAATGATTTTTACCTGTAGTTACTATTTGCTACCGGAGTACAAAGAGATTTTTTTTATACATTAGACTAGCGACCCGCCCCGGCTTCGCACGGGTGCAATATGTATATACATACAAACCTTCCCTAAGAATCACTCTATCTATTAAAAAAAACCGCATCAAAATCCGTTGCGTAGTTTTAAAGATCTAAGCATACATACGGACATACAGCGAAAGCGACTTTGTTTTATACTATGTATTGATGGGACTGCCGTTTGACCACTATCTCGCCTGATAGTAAGCGTTGATGTATTTTAAATTGAAAACTAGGTCGTGACATGGATCGTAAAAAAAGTGTGCACTTCTGTTATTGCTTAGGAGATACAGGAAAAAGAAACAAAGAAGATTTCGGGAAGATAAGATTTTGATGCGCGATGCGAATCAATTCGCATTCGTAGAGGGAGCTCGCATATTTTGTAGATATAGACAGGGAGCGCAGGTCGCTGGCGGTGCGCTGCGACATGCTGGCCCACAGATTTGCACGCTGTACGGAATCCGTAAAAATAGCGCTTTTTAACCTCTCGCGCGTCTCGTACACGAGTTTAATAGAAAGCGAATGAACTATTCTGTTCAATCAAATAAAGAACGGGTTGCAACTTGAAAATATCCATCAACAGCTTATAAATGCCCACTGCTGAGCAAAGCCTCTTCTCACACGGAGAAGGTTAGATCGTTAATCACCACGCTTACTCAATGCGGGTTGGTGATTTCAAACTTATAATTAGAAATTATAAGTCCAGGTTTCCTCACGATGTTTTTCCTTCACCGTTTGTCAGTGGTGTCTAAATAATCTTAGAAAGTACATATAATTCGGAAAAGTCACATTGGAACTTGCCGTTGGTAGGTTTCGAGCCCGCACTCTCATGTATGAGAAGCGGGCGTCTTAAACCTCCGGGCCACCACGACATATATTTTTGCAGTTTTGTGTACGAGCCCTGAATGCTAACTTACATAAAAGCTCATTTTAATTTGAATTAATTTGTCAACAGTGCCACAAGGTATACAAACAAGGCGCCCAGCTACGGGATCATCTGAAGTATGTACATTTAAAGTTAAACAGGAAAGTGATATGTGAAATCTGCGGGAAGGTCGTGCCAGTAAGTATTTTAATTATAATTGGGATGATGACAGGGTATGAAAATTAATAATCTAATTAGTCCGTAAGTTAGGGAAGGGTCCGTTCAAATTTTACGTAAGCAGATTTTTTACAATGATTTACCCCCCCTCCCCCTTGTCA